ATAAGGGCGCCCACTTGTGGGATACTTCAGCTCGAGGGCGACAGGGACGTGAGAGCGGTCGGCGATCATGGCGTAGGGGCAACAATCGGGCTGGCGGGGATAGAGCCTGTAACGACCCAACGTCGTTCTAATTCGTGACCTTAAACCGACTCCTCCTGAACGTAACCTCAACCTTGTTTCTCAAGAACCTAGACTGACGACACTTCAAGCAAGAGAAGTTTTGGACAAAGCATTGCCTCAATTCATGAGTTGGCATGGCCAAGGTTACAAGCCAGTCAACGTATGGTCAAACCAAGTCAACTCATCATCTTTATCGACAATGTATCTCTCGAGTAGTTTGACAAAGGACCCTTATCTCTCTTAAGTAAAGGGAAGCACTATTTGGACTAATGATTGACCCGATGCCATAACCCCCAATCCCTAAGTCAAATGGGCTAGAAAGTTATTCACCGGATCGTCCACCGAGACTACTGTATAGTCCGTCAGAACTGCAGAGACATCAAATTGAGTGGGAATGAGCTGTCCTTCACTTATGAGGCATGGCCTACATGTCAGCTCGAAGTCGGATATTTTCCATCAGCTGAACCCCAGCTCTCCCCATTCCCCATTTCATTTCTTTCACTCCCTCTCTCTCTAGAATGAAGAACAAGAAGAAGAAAAGATGAACTAGAGTGAGAAAGTGGAAAAGGATGAAGAAGAGAAGATGGATCAAGCTTACCAAGAGCAACAAGATCAGCTATGGATCAAGATCAAGGACCTCATCCATCTCCTATCTCATGGTTAGCTCAAGAACCCTCTCTTCTCATTATCTTAAGCTCAATCTTCAAACCCTAACCTAAGCCCTCCTCTTTGCATGGATGAATCATGAGTGTTGGATGATACTTCATCATCTCAAAGGTAAGATTGAAGTGTTGCTACAACCCAATCCTCTCAAGTTCTTCTTCAAGAATTACTCATTTGGTTTATGGATATTTTTGGCAAGAAACTTTGGATTTTATCCCAAAGGTTTGGAAGAATGGATCCTCAATTGTTATTCTCTAATCTTTGTGGCAAGGAACTCACCAAAAATCCCAAGCTAAGTTGCCATGCTCAATCTTAATCTCTCTACCTCTCTTTTCTAGGTTTACAAGGTTATTTAGTGAATCATTAGTTGCACTTGTTAACCAAAGCCAAAGCCCTAGGTATCTTAAGCCTAGCAAGCTACCTAAACCTTTCTAGGAATATCTTGCACATGCATAGAACCTAACTCCCCACATCTAGAGTTGTATCACCTAAGCTTATCCAAGAAAGCAAGAACATAGATTCCATTGCCCAAATGACGGATCATCCGTCAGAACCAACAGGTAGTCCGTCAACCCAAAAACCCAACAGCCAGAGACCTAACCTGCTTTGCTATAATTCCATGGATCATCTGTTAGAACCAACGGAGTGTTTGTTGAATTATAAACCAAACCCCCAGAGTAACCGGAAGAACCCAGTCCCTACCAGAGTGTTCGTGAGTCCTCACGGAGTGTCCATTGATTTATAGAGATGAATTAAGAATCAACCCGAACATCCTTGTATCCACGGATTGTCCGTCAATTGGTATAGAGTGTCCGTAAATCCTAATCATAGTCGGCGCAAAGTCTGTAAACCCTAGAGTTGTTCCAGCCGAGTGTTCGCTAGGTATATCGGAGTGTCCACTGAATAACAGAGAGAGCCTAGGAAGTCTAGAACCCTATCTTCTACTTGTGAGAACCCTAGAGACCTATGTACAAAATAGTACAATAGTAGAGTCATCTTAGTATCTCCTTCTGAGCTCTCAATTCGATCTCAATCTTTATCAATATCTCTCGATTCATCGACTAGTTATCTTCAATCTTAGTCTTGTGTCTTTCAGGTTCCATCGATGCATGAGGATTGAGTATAGGCCATCCTCGTCAGTTTTGATTGACAGCAGCATAATCAGGCAGGCACCCCACTACTATAAGCCTTATTTTGGATACGAACTATTTGTCTCATAAGAGTCGTGCATTGCATCAAAACCTTGTTTTGTGACTCAACTAAAACCGTTGCACCTCTTAGACTTACACACTACACAACTATAAGCCTTTTTATATCAACCACTGGGTTGGAAATGCACTAATGCTATGCTTAGTTGTTAGCTGCGGTAGAAGACGAGTTTGAGAAGGGAACTCACTCTCGCGCGTGTAGGATGTTACACGGGGGTAATTAACTACTAAAACTTGCAAGGGTGACAACTTACCTAGCTCTCTAATCTGGACTAAGGGCACACTCCAATCTGATAGCTTGCCTTGGTGGTCAGTTTGATCTTTTCATTCAAGCGAGGGGTAGGTCACTGTAAGTGTGGGATCTCAAGGACGTAGCTCGCGGAGGATTAAGGACCGTTCATTGGGACATTGAGTCCGAGTAACCACCCGTACATACCACATATCACATATGGGGGTGGTAAGCCGAGTAACTGATTGCGACCGGTTTGTCCATTGAGCTGGCATTGAAGGTGGTGCTAGGTAGATCATGGTAGCATTACCCGGGAACCAATCAACCCCTTCGTGGACATTCTTGGCTAGATTAGGGAAAGGTTGAAGATGTGAGGCAACCCTTACCTCTAGTGCATGAGGTATGATGGTTAGTCCCGTTCTCCGTGTGGGTACAGTTGTACCCTCCGCACAGAGTCTATTGAAAGCCTGAAGTCCCTCAGGACGGAACTGGTTGTTCCTACTTCTAAACCCATTGTAGTGTGGGAGACCTCACTTTTGGGTTGAGGTGAATTCCATTGTTGATCACCTGACCTATGCTACTCACCACTTGTTTTACATCTATCTTGGTTGAACTACTTTGACTATGCATCATGAGCATCTTACTCTTTAACATACGCCATTGCTTTTCTGCAAAACTCACAAACGCCTGATATTATCCCTTGCATCCACCAAATATCTATATGTTGGAAGCCCTGCGAGTACGAAATGTACTCATGGTGCCGCCGTTAAGTTGTTTTGTGGGTAAATCTGTTGTGTGTGTAGTCGAGCCAAGCTCATCAACGCGAGGTGGGTGGTAGAGGGGCCGCACGGGACGCGTGAAGGCGGAAGAGGGTGCGTGGTAGAGGGGCGCGCGTCGCGCGGGGATATGCATGTGCGGGAATAGGCGGCGGTGCTGGGAGCCTATGCGCGGGACTGACGAAGGGGTGTCACGAAACAGAGGCTAGCGTGTCACGTGGAAGTGGAGATCGCGCGTGGCGGGGTGAAGGGGCGTTGCGAGGTGGGTGCAGAGGATCGCAAGGTGGACGCGCGGACGGGAATCGGCGGCGCTGGGAGAGCTAGGGCAGAAGAGGGAACCGGAAGGAAACCCAGGCGATTGATACCATGTAGAGAATTAGGAAATACCTCACACCCATTAAGGGAGGGGTGACTTTCATATATATAGCTAGGGTACCACTTGGAAACCAAGTAAGGTATCTCTAGACTATACATATCTCTAATAGAAACAGCATTGAATCTTTTGGTTCTTGCTAACTACAATGCCCATCCCCTAAGAATTACAGCAAGTAACTTCTATTGACCTTCTGTTCAATGTTAGATCATGGAATTACTGGTGAACATCACTAAGCATGTCCTGAAGCCCAAGCATGAAGTGTTGACTGCAGAGGAGAAGGTCAAGCTTCTGAAGGAGTACAATGTGGTGGACTCACATGTATGTTGCTCTTATAATTTGTTGAAGTTACTTTTAAATTTTCTACTGGTTTGTTATACTGCCACTTGGAGTCATGGTGCTATGCAATAATGCAGCCTGGTGCTGGCTGTCGGCTGTTGCTTTTCATGACGCATGATGAGTTGCTGTATATAACACCATAATTTCAGCACTTGATTTTTTGTGCAATATGATCATGGCCATAAGGGAGACTGCAATATCTTATTATGCTTTCTGCATGTGATGATTGAGATTGTCGATAAATTATGAAGTTTACCAGGCTGTAGCCCTCGACAAATGGAAATATTGATAATAATTTGGTGAACTGCATCATTTATATAGAAAGAAAACTGCTAATGAAAAATCTGTCACTTTCTATTTATGTGGGGTTCCTATTATATAATGCAGGCTCCTTACATAACGATGTTGATATGCAAACCAGAAATTAAAACATATGTCAAACCATATGTTTATTAGTTGTTTCATTTCATTTAATTTGGCTAGTGGATCCTTAACATCCCTGCATTGCAAATTCCTGCTAGTTATTGGCTTGGTTGTTTCCCTTGGAAATTTCTTTTGGTAAAGCTAGCTCAAATTGTTGCAAAGTAATTTCATGCCAGTTTTCTGAAATTGGTGCTTGTATCTTTCAGTTGCCTCGCATGCTGGAGAGTGATGCAGTTGCTCACTACCACGACCACGGATTTGGCAAAGGAACTGTTGTTAAAGTTACATATGACAGCGAGCTTACCGGGAACCATGTGACATACCGGTGTATTTTCTGAGGGTTTCTGTGAATGAAGTTTCTCATAAGCAGTTAGTAACAATCACCTCCCAGCAGATGATGATGCCCTTGTAAGCCAGTGTAAGCACCCTACTGTAGGGATGACGTTTGCTGTTAGCTGTTGCTGTTGGTAAAAATCGTATCCCAGCTAAGTTACTGCCCTACTGACTACTATAGTGAGTACTTGTATCCAGACTGAAGCTTAGAAACAGTAAAAAAAAATCCCATCGTTAGTTATCTGACAATCAGTTTCAGATATTATTTCTTGGCTTCGGCACACGCTGTCCCAATGGCCTGTTACTGTGACTCTGTTAGGTTGTTATCTCAGCTGTTTTTCTGATAAATGAAACAGGCAAATGTGTTGCAGAATCACATGATGCGACTCAAGCAGTATCCGTTTACACATTCCATTATATTTTTGCCAAGCTAGTGCTAACATCTATGTTACAAATCAGTAGACCAAAAACTGAGTATAAGGCAAATGACCAAGGGAAAGAGGAAAAAAAAAGGTTAGCTGTTAGTCAGTTTGCAGCTAACTATGCCTTGATCTATTTGCCTGCGGCAAGATTTCTTCGTTGTCTGCTGCCTTTCTCTTGCGGTTGCTGCTGCTATCGCTGCTGCTGCTGGTGTTTGTGGGGTTACTGCATTCGTCACTGTTGCTGTCACTTTGCTGATGCTGTTCCTGGTGATAGTGCTCTCTGCATCTGCTTTTCAGTATGTGGGGCTTGAGCTTGTTCATGTCGGATAGCCGTACTGGTTTCAGGAAGAACTCATCAGCTCCTTCCTCCAGGCACCTGATTCAGAATTTCAAAAACCAGAACTGTCAGTTTTTTCCCCTTTGATCATATATAAAGCATGATATGCTTTTAGAAAACAACTCTTGCAACTTGTGTTTTTTTCTTAAATCTTTAAATTTTGTTTTTATGGATATGTCATATCTTTCGATTCTTTTTTTTTCCGAAAGGGCAGCAATATCTTTTGATTCTTTCTTTGACTTTAGTGCCTCCCATTGGTGGAGTATCGCGCAGCGAGTGGTTAGTGGTGCTAGTGACCTGTCTGCATCAACAGACCTGTTTCATGGATACGGCAATATGAAAGATCTACAAGATCGAACTGACTATCATTTCATATCTTTCCTTTTGGTGTTTATTTTACACCGACCAGGCCGAGATATAATACAAGGACGGTGTGAGCTGTCATGTATGTGGTGGTTCGTTCCTCTATTATAGCACAACACATGTGGCAACATATTATTAAGAATTCGTTGAGATTTCCATATCCAATTTGGTCCTAAACTTATTCATTTATTTATATATGTCTCCATACATGGAAGAAAAAAAAGGAACTTTATAACTCTCTAAAAGGTTTTCTGAACATGAAGTGATTTTCTGAGCAAGAACAGGCCGTCGGCCAATTCTTGCTTTAACTCTACTCAACTCCTCACTAATGTTTTTTTTTTTGCATTTTTTAACTTTGATTTTTCTTAAACACTGTTGTTTAGATCCACAAGACACAGAGAGAGGTAGCTCACTGCTCACCTATTGATCCTTGAAGGAATGTTCTCAGAGGACATGATGACCACTGGGATATCTCTGAGAGACGACGATTCCTGATTGAGCAACCAAACATGCATCTTATTTAGGCCTTGTTATCTTCAGTGGATCATACCAATAAAGCACCATAGATAGATAGGATATAAATTAGTTACCTTGATCTTCTTGAGCAGATCATATCCTGTCATGCCAGGCATGCAGTAGTCTGTGATGATCAGGTTCACCGCCACATCCTGATTGTCATCCACATACATACAGAGCATGAGCAAAACCAAATACTGTGCCGTACATCAGAAATCTTTTCTTCAGACTAGCTAGTCACGAAAACACATAGGAAGAGGAAGCCATCTTCTTCTTCTTACCAGCTGGTCTGTGTGGACAGGAACAGGGCTGTGGTCGTCATGGAGCCCCAGGAACTGCAGCGCCTTGCTCCCTGAGTCGACAGTGGTCACTGCATGTATTCAGAAACAAATTAGAGCCAAAGGAACCATCTTTCATGAGTTTCAGAGTAGAGCCTGATGCTGCAAAGGATATGAGAATCCGGTGACTGAATTACCTTGGAAGGAAGAGGTCTTGAGGAGCCTCTCGATGAGCTTCCTGTCCGGGAGGCTGTCGTCCACCGCCAGGACATGGAACGGAGTCTCTGTGGCCACCGCCGCTGCCATGGCCGATCGAAACAAGAGAGAAGAGCTGCAGGAAGCAAGAGTTGTAGAAGAAGAAAGGCTGGAGGTCTGTGTGCTTGGTCTTGGCATCAGAGGGCAGAGGCTTTTGCTGTGCTTTCTGAATGATGAAGGATGTGGGTGTGGTTGAGTACATACTTATATACACACACAAGCACATGAAAGGATTCGAGGAGATGTGATGTGACGGAATCATGGAAAGTAAAGCGAAGGAGGAGTGGAAAAGAAGGTGTGATGACTAAGAAAGTCGTCCCAGCGCATGGAAAGCAAGATCCTGGAGCAGATTTGCTCCAAATCTTGCCACGAATTGACTCCATCCATCCACAACAGAGTACCATGAGACAGACAACATGCACAGAAAGGATCCACCACCACCATTTTCTTTTGTTCCCTTCCCTCTGCCTTTTCATACTGCTGCTAGTGCTGCTACCCTACCATATCATATGGGCATATGGCTCTGTTAGGGCTTGTTTGGTTTAACATCTTAGTCACTTTTAGTCACTAAAATACCAAACACCCCCACTAAAATTTAGGGACCACTAAAGTTGAGTGACTTTTAGTCACCACGGATAGCCAAAAGTGCTTAAAATGTACATGGGACAGCTGCTTTAGTGGTCTTTAGTCACTATTGAAAGAGTTTAGGATGGAGCCAACAAGCTTTGTTGTATTGATCTTTGTATGTTTTATACAAGTACAGGGCAGTGGAACTGCCGGCGCGAGGCGTCTGCGGGCCGAGCGCACGGACGCGGAGCCACGGCGTGGGCGACGTCGTGGCTGACCAGCGCGTAATCGTGGCGACAGCAGAGCGGGAAAAACCTGAGCTAGCCTATCCGAAGTAATACAAATTACACACTTTATCACCCCCGCAGTCTGATGAGTCATAGGCGTGACACAAAGACTGTCCCTGAAAGCCTCGAAAGTCTTCGTCGTGAGTCCTTTTGTCATGATGTCGGCATACTGCTCGCCCGTCGGCATATGTAGAACACGTAGCTCACCAGCCTGCACCCATTCGCGCACGAAATGGATGTCGAGTTCGATGTGCTTCGTTCTCTTGTGATGCACTGGATTCGTAGACATGTAGACAGCCGATACATTGTCATATAACGCGACTATAGCCTTCAGAATGGGGCAGTGAAGTTCGCCGAGAAGTTGCCGTAGCCAAATGCACTCGGCGGCGGCATTGGCCACTGCGCGGTATTCCATCTCCGTGCTGGATCACAACACGGTGGGCTGTCACTTGGACGACCACGACACCAAGGAGTTGCCAAGGAACACGCAGAAGCCGGACGTTGAGCGTCGAGTGTCGGTGCACCCAGCCCAATCCGCGCCGGAGTACGCCGTGACGTTGAGGTTCGGGGAGGCGCGGAGCAGGAGGCCGTGCGACGTCGTGCCGCGGACGTAGCGCAAGATCCGCTTCAGCTGCTGCCCAATGTTGCTGGCACGGATCATGCATGTAGAGGCATGCTTGTTGCACGACGAAGGCAAGGTCCGGCCGTGTCACTGTCAGGTACTACAGGGCGCCGACGATGCTGTGGTACGACGTCGCGTCTGGCACAGTGGGTCCATCGGAGGAAAGCTTGCCTTTCCCGTCGATCGGCGTCGTGGCGGCCTTGCAATTGGACATGCCCGCTGCTGAAGAATATCCTCGGCATAACGGCTCTGGAAGAGGTAGAAGCTGGCCGCCATGCGCTGGACGTCAATGTCGAGGAAGAAGCGCAGGTTACCCATGTCTTTCACAACGAACTCGGAGCGGAGGGCGTGGACGATCTAGTGCAGCAGCGAAGCTCGATGCAGTGATGACCATGTCATCGACGTAGAGGAGGAGGTAGGCGACATCGGATCCTCGGTGAAGAACGAAAAGGGAGGAGTCAGATCGAGTCGCCTGGAAGCCAAGACGAACGACGTATGTCGCGAACCGAAGTGAACCATGCCCATGGCGCCTGGCGAAGACCATACAAGGATTCGTTGAGGTGACAGACGGCTTGAGGACGCTCAGCATCCACGAAGCCAATGGGTTGCTAGCACAACACAAATTCATTGAGATGTCCGTGGAGAAAAGCATTTGAGACATCGAGTTGCCGAGTCGGCCACTGCTTGGAGGCGGCGATGGTGAGCACTGTGCGCATGGTGGCCGGTTTGACGACTGGCGTGAAGGTCTCCTTGAAATCGACCCCGGGCGCACTGTGTAAAGCCGTGTACCACCCATCTCACCTTGTACCACTCAAGAGAGCCATCTAGATTCAGTTTGTGCTTGAAAACCCATTTACCCGAGATACCAAGTGGCTTGTCAACCAGACGCCATGTCCGGTTTGCTTGCAAGGCGGAGAACTCAGCCTCCATGGCACCGCGCCAATTGGGATCGCGCAGAGCTTCCTGAGCGGATGAAGGGATCGGTGAGATAGGCGCGGTGGTTGCAGCCATGGCGTATCAGGATTGGGCTTGAAAACACCGGCATGAGCACGAGTGACCATAGGATGTGCGGGAGGTGGAGGTGGTGTGGGCGGTGGTGCTGGTGCGGTGGAACTCTAGGGCAAACCGGAGTTGGCAGACCCAGGGTCGGGCTGCACATCGGCCATGCCAGGTGAAGGTGGAGGCTGCATGGGCGCTGAGCTTACCACAGGGGACGAGGCGATGCTGGGCGCAGAGACGCGACGACGTTTCGGCGGGGCGTCCGGCAGATGCACTGGACCAATCCTTCATCCGTTGTGGCATGGGACGAACGCCGATTGAGTAGATGAGTGGCAGTAGCGAGAGCTTCAGCCCAGAAAGGAAAAGGCAGGCCAGCGTGAAGAAGACTGCGCACGCAGTCGTTAAGTGTGCGTATGATCCGCTCGGCTTTGCCGTTTTGCGCTGAACTGTATGGGCAAGAAAGGTGGAAGCTGATGCCGTGTGCGGCAAAATGCTGACGAACTACAGTGTTGTCAAATTCCTTGCCATTGTCGGTTTGGAAGGAAATGAGTGGCAACTGAAATTGCGTTAGGACATAGGCATGGAATGAAATCAGACATTGAGCAACTTCAGATTTGGCATGTAAAGGAAATGTCCAAACGAATTGAGTACAAGCATCAATTAAAATCAAATAGTATTTGAAGCCGGAGTTGCTTAAAATAGGCAAGGTCCAAACATCACGTGTACAAGCTGGAAAGGAACATAACAAACTGAAGAAGAGGGAGATAAAGGAAGACGGACATGCTTGCGGAGCTAACAGGACTGGCAAGTATGAGCTACTGTCTTTGTACAGGTAAACTTGAACTGACGAAGAGTACGTTGGAGGGAGTCCCGGCCAGGATGCCTGAGACGTTGATGCCACAGATCAGCGGAGGTAGAGCTGGACAGCAGCGCCAGTGCAGACGGAGGCCGAAGAGGATAGAGCTCGCCGTCGCTGTTACATCGGAGCATCTCCGTCCGAGTAGGTAGATCCTTGATAGAAAAACCTGAAGGGGACCATGACGCCTAAGAGGGGGGTTGAATTAGGCAACTTAAAAATCTAACTCTAACTATGGCCTCTTTTTCTACCCCTACCAAAACCTATGCAAAAGATAAACTATCTAAATGTGCAACTACGGTTTTGCTAGTGTGTTGCTATCTCTACCGCAAAAGGAGTAATGTAATCAATGTAAATGCGGAAGCTAAGGAGCAAGGTAGAGATATGCAAACTCCCGTCGACGACTCCGGTATTTTTACCGAGGTATCGAGAAGCACGCAAGCTTCCCCATAGTCCTCGTTGGAGCCCCTCTCAAGGAATCCCTCGCAAGGGCCAAGCTCCCGGTCGGGTAACTCCATGGATAGCCTCGGGCCTTCCCCACGCGCAAGTGGGTCTCCGCCGTGCCTTCCGGCAAGCCTCTCCCGGATGCTCCCCGCCGTCTTCACTATCAAGCTTCCGGCCGAAACGCCGCGGGCCTTGTTCCCTCCGGTACACGGTGGCGGCCACACCACAAATGCGGTTGGTGTGATCTCGCAAGACTACAAGCCCCTCCGATGTACAACAATGGTGCGCGCAAGCACCGAGTGATAAGAGGTATGCAAACCTCACTAAACACTAGGCCTAAACCTAGAGCAAGCGCATAAGCGGTGGTCTAATCAACCTAAGCACTTCGCAAAAGCACCTACGCTAATCATCTGATGAAACACTAAGAACTATGCAAGTGGATATCACTAAAATGATGTATCAACACCCTTGATATATTTCCTCAGCTCCACACAACTCAAATAACTAGTTGGGGGTTGTATTTATAAGCCCCACTGAGAAAATAGCCGTTGGGGATGAAATCTCGCTTTTTTGCTACTGACCGGACGCTGATCACGTCCTGACCGGACGCGTCAGGTCGTCCCGACCGTTGGAGCCACGATCAACTGATCGGACACTGCCAGCGTCCGATCACCTGCCATCGGACGCGTCCGGTCATAGTTTCGCCGCTCTGGAACCTCTCTGTACTCGACCGAACTCTGTTGTCCTGTGTCCGATCGGTTTGCCGCCAGCGTCCGGTCCAGTGTCCGATCGCTGCTACTGACGCTTGTTGCCGAGCCACTTGATCGGAGCGTCCGATTGCTTTCCTCCAGCGTTCGGTCACCTCTGTGAGCTCGTTTCTTCGCGATCTTGCGTACGGCTTGGTTCCTATCTTCGTGCTTGGACTTTGCTTGATATCTTGGGACTTTGCTTCATCGGATCATCACGTTGCCTTCATCCAAGTCACGTCTTGCATCCTATTGAACTACAAAACAATCACGTGCAAATTCATTAGTCCAATTTGGTTGTGTTGGTCATCAAACACCAAAATCTAAAGTAAATGGGCCAAGGGTCCATTTTCCTTACAATCTCCCCCTTTTGGTGATTGATAACAACACGATCAAATCAAGCAAATAATAAGAATTTGGAATTTAAAAACTATCTACTTGCTAGGATGCAATGCAAGGGGCAAGGTTATATGATGCTAAAAGATACTACTTGTAAGACTAAAAGATACTACATAAAAATTTATCTTGCC